TTAAGGAGAAGACATGTACACTTTTCGTTTTCCTCCCACGCAAATCAGTCTAAAAATGAAATGTGACGTCTGGAAGGAGATATCAAGATAAGGAGAAACTGAAAGTATGGGAGAGTGAGAAACGAGATGGCTCATTCGGAAGTTTGCAGATATTGCATATTGAATGTTTTCAGGATAACAAACCGGAAGATGATTCAAAAAGATTTTAACACCAAATGTGTTTATTACAACCTAAATCAGCTTGTCCCACTATGAAAAAGATCGTCTTTCTATTTCATTCTGCTGTCAACTCATTTTCGATTTTTTAGTCCCCCTTTCTTCAATCCCTCGAAGTCAAAAACTCACACTGCCATATTTATCTGATTATTTTTTTCACAGCGTAAATCTCGGATCTGATCCCACGCCAGCGTTCAAATACCCTGTTATCTCTCGATTCTTTTATCTCATGTAGTGAAGTGACAATAGAAATTGGATTACTCTATTCAAACAAGAAAAAAGTTTTGAAAAGATTTGAATAGACCACATTTCAGATCATCTTGAACTCATGAACTTTCAGTACAGGATCTGGGTAAATTCATATGACTGGAATGATTGAAAACATTGAACTGAACGCTGTTCGATTTCTTCATAAAATGACACAGCAGAAAGAGCCAGGTGAAATTCTAACGTTACGTGGAACCCCTGATCAATTCGAGGCCACATGGGAATAACATCAATTATTCATTTTTTGGATAGCTTGTCGGTGTGTTTTTTTTGTCTAAAACAAATTAATGACGTAATGAATCTTTAAATTTGTCATTGTCAGCTCCACCGCTCATCTCAAACACCAAAAAGGTTCGATAATCATGTCGGCATCCTGTGACCAACCAGTGTTCGTTGGCCTCGTTGTTATGATTTCTCGAGGGATAGTGTGTATTTTCATAGTTAAAAAGAATTTCATTAGATTTGTGTATTTTGTTTTCATAAATTATGCTAATCGATGTTTGTGTCTTGAGAAAAATAAAAAAAGAAATGGAACGCTTCAAGAATTGTTTTGTGTTCATCGGACATTTTTGTTGGAATCTGTGGTCTTTTCGGAAAAATAGTGAATATTACTTGTAAAGAGATCAAAAATGTATCCGGGTGCGAAATTGAGTTTAGTTAGCGCTTATAAAATTTATTTTGCAGCGCATCTCCAAGTTCTCACATGAATGCTGCATAGATACATTTGAACATTTTTTCGGAGTTTCAAAAATGATGAAAGCGGAAGTTCATTTCGAAAATTTAGCAAAACGAAACATTTCAGCTTTTCCAGCTCCAAATGATGAGAAATCTTTTTACATTGTTAACAGTTGTGATGAAAACGAATGTGAGGTTTTTTGAAACTAAATGTCAAATCATTCGATCCCATGTCTCATCATCATTTCTACCAATTTATGTTCTTTCTCTGTCCAAATTTGATACTATTTTACGGTATAATTTTTTATAGTTCATTTTATTTTTTGAAAATTTATTTATTTCTCTACTTTATCCAATTATATCGTAATTCATGTATTAGAAAGGCTTTCAATATAAGGTTCCATCGAGTGGGGCTTGGAACAATAGATTGGCCGGTCCTTCTGATACAAGGTTTACGATATGTGAAGGAGGAAAGACATTAAAAATGATTATTATAGCAATGAAACTTCTGTTTATTGACTTATTGTAGTCTTGACCCATGAAAAATCTTGATTTTTCTAAATCCTGGCGTTGTTCTTTCGAACCCTGATCAATAACAATAAGTCTTCAACCTGAACTGCAAACGTCCATTGTTTTACATGTGACAATAATTCTTTTTCACTTCAAACTACATCCAGTCCTTTTTTTTTTTTTGTTTTCTGCTACTTCACCTTTAAAAGCTCTTTGTTTTTTTTTGTTCGAGCTCTTTATTTTCTTTTCAGTGCGAGAAAAAAAAACGCTTCACCGCCGAAGAAAACCGGGAAACTATTTTTCAAAACGACCATGAATAATGAAAAAGACACAATTTCCGATTTTTCGTTTCAGACTCGGCTAAAAGCTTTACTTGTACATGTTACGAGCAGCTCTAGGGTGTTTTTTCAAATGGTACTATGATCCTTGAAGTTGATTCGGGAGTCACATACTTCCATGAATGCTCGCAATTAGACTCGTGGTCTTCCTTATTCATCACGATCCTTCTGACTAATATGTCCATAACTAACTAGACTCCCTAGTCAGCATTTTCTGCAAACCAACTAACTGACTTTAGTTTTTGAAAAGAGGAAAAGCTAAACGAAATGACAACTCTTCTCTTATTTTCATAATTCTTTTAGCTATACTGAGTTGGTCCACCGGAACTTTTACCACTCACAAAAATTGGAAATTTCTTTTTTGCTGAAGCTTACATTTTTTCAATGTTCAATGAAACAAAAACACTTAAAACTTCACTAGGCAGTCATAAAAAACTTTTATGGTCCAAAAAAATCATCTATCTTGAAAATTTGGAGACTCAAGAGTCTAACGTCGCCGTTTTCGTTTTTTTTTTCACTGGAGTCCAAAATTCAAAACATCCTTCAAGACGAAAATAAGTTTCCTTTGTCTGAAACTTCCTGTGATCATGTTTTCGAGTCGCGCTGATCCCTGATATAACTTGTTTTATAAGAAAAAAACTGACTTGCTTTTTTTTCCAGAATAACAGTTCCTCTATTCTACTCAATCAGAAACCCCTAACGCTCTCAAGTCGCTCTTTTTTCTGTTCTGCTTCTGAGTTTTGATCTTCTTTAGTTTTTGTTCACCGAAGTTGTCATAGACTTCGACATTTCACAAAAATAAAAGACCGCCTCAAACTTTTTGTATGACCGATCAGAAGCCACTACTAGTACAAGAGCTATTAACTTTGATGGGTCCCTAAGTTTTTTCCGCGTTTTTCCTCAAATCGTGTGGCCCCCATTAAATCCCTCGCGCTTCGTGTTTTCTTCCGGTTTCATGATTGCTCCCTTTGTCGCCAACGTCACTCCTATGTCCCTCACGGTCATGAACAATGATGGTTAAGTGCACATTAGCTTCAGAATATAAACAAGAAAATTACAGTAGTGTTCGCGACAATTTTATTAGAAAAACTTTTTTTTTTGAGAAACAGGACTACATAGAACACTTTGATATCTTAATAAAAGTGGTAAGATTGGACGTAGCCTTATGACATCAACCAATTAGTTGTCATTCAGCCCATATAATATTCGATACAATTTTTTAAAAAGCTTGAAACATGAAACTAAAAAGTATTTTTCAAAAGTTCAGTATTTTGAACTTATTTGTTGTTTTTGATTCCCGATAAGTTTCGGCACAATTCAATCTGAAATCAATGGCTGAACAACTTTTGAAACATCAGCGTTTTTTAAAGGTTATCTCAGGCCATTTGGACACTTCGAATTTGTGAACAAATTTTCAAATTTAACTCATTATCTGCAATATCCTCCATTTTGTCTGCTCCACAAAATCATCAATAAGCAAATTTTGCAAATCCAAATGCTCACATTCTGATCATACCACGAAAAACGAAACATGAAAGGAAAAAACTTTCTTCCTCACTCCCAAAAAAAATTAACGACCTCGTTTTTTGATCAGAAGCTCCAGAGCACGAGGCCGATAGGAAACGCGGTGCAATTTAGATGCTCGAATCGAGCCTTGAATTATTCCGTCTTCTCCTGTTTCCCCCTATTTCTGGAGACAACAAGGAAATGTGCAACACTCATCGCATTTTTCCTTACGGCAAGGCATCACAAACAGCCACCCACACTTGTTCTGCACTACAGAGAAATGGGATTGTTTAAATTAGAAATTGAAATAAAAAACTTTGTTGTCTCATCTCTCCTACTCATCTCCGAAAGTCTGAAGCCTTCGTCGCTTCTGATTGGCTTGCTTGTCAAATGCAGTCTTATTGTCCTTTCAATTCATCAGAAACGGTAGCACCGACTCAATTAGGCGCCATTTCAGGTGTCACCCACAGAATGGGCAGGCCCCACCCGTCTATCTACTTTGGTAAACATTCAACAAACTAGTCATCATCTAGAATTTTTTAGTCTTGCTAGGATTTAGAAGATTCCATGTTGACCTGCCGGGTTTTTTGATGTTTTAGTAAATGTAATGCTTCATTTTTGTAAATTTATACCCCTTCCCGTCTTCACCACCCTCTTTTTCTAGGCTGGGAACGTGCCATTCTGCAAAAATAACAATAACTGATCTCAAAATCCAGTCAACCTAAACCTAATCAAGCACGAGTTGGGAGGGACCGCTTCACTAGTTAATTCATTCCACCCAAGTTCCAAGAATATCTATACATGAGAAGAAAACTCAATTTCCCACTCGTTCAAGGAATCCTTTTTTTGTTTCACATACCTGCTTTTTGCACTTTTGCACTTTGAAACTTTAACGATCATGGAAACAGCTTTTTCTTAATTATTCGTCCTATCCGCCCATATCGTCATTTCAGCCCTCCCCTTCTTGTCAATGAAGTGAAAACGATGTGTGTAGGAGAGAAGAATATGGAAAAAAAGTTTTGAATATTTTAGTGTGGGTTTAATCCAATAAAATTATGTCATTCATCTTGATATCTCCCAGAAAAAAAGAGATAGAGAAGAAAAGTGATGTTCATTAATCCAGTGCCCGCCTTCATTGAATGCCCGCCCCTTTTGAAGAGTTAGGCCGGGTGTATAAAACGGAAATGGTGGAGAGCTTGTCGTTGGGGCTCCTAACTGGAGAAAGATGTTCTTGACTTGATCTTCTTTATTTTCGATTTTTCATTCTTTGCTCTTTTTTCATTCATCTTTTTTTTTCAAAATTTCCTCGAATTTTTAATAATACCCCATACCTATTCACTTCTTCATGAATTCATTATCTTTTTCTCCACTCTTTTCCTTTTCCATTTCTTGCTCATTTGACAATTTGTATATTTGCTGTTCATATATACATGCAAACAGCTGTTCAGTTTTCCAGGTACTCTTTCCGATTTTCAAAGGATCTTCTGCATGTTCCGTCGGCTTCTTATCGCTGTTTTCTGCTTCGCCTGTCTTTCGGCAGTGACTGCGCAGCGGTTCCTGTACAACCCAAAAGTGAGTAAGGAGTATTTGTATCTTAACAGAGTTTAAAAGCTTTTTGGATAAGACTAACAATTTATTAATGATTGATTACTATTTCAACGAGTTGGAAAAAAATTAGAAACATAGTTATGATCAAATTTACTGATTTGAAAGTCTGGAGTGTATCAAAAGTTGCAGGTAAAAGCAAAAAATCAAAATTTCTACGTGGCCTGTCAAAAAATATGTTTTGAGATGAACACAGAATTTAAGATCATTTCCATATTCCTAATCAACAAATACTTCGCGGACACTTTTAGGTCCCCTATGAAACTTTTTTGTTGTCGAAATCTGATTGCTACTTTAATAGCAACAAAGATCTCGAGTTATTGAAAAATTGAAAAAAAAAACTCAGTGTTGATCTCTTGATCTTCCAATCAAGCCTTTTATTCGGAAAAAAGTTATTCAGTACACAATACGTGAGAACAAAACAAATGTGCTCGTATTCAAAAAAATTGGATCAATCGAATCATTTCTCTTTTTCCTAGATGTTTTTCCCCACTTATCGGATCAGTGAGTGTGTTTTGATCTCACCCACACCAGAACTCAAGAGCATAAGCTCTATTGAACGTGAAGTCATGAATGCTGCATGGCTAAGTTCTCGTTCAGCTACTGTATTCTTGCACGGCTCAAAAATGTAGCCAGTGTGTCTTGTTACCAAGTATTCAAAAATATTGAAAGGATATGACATCTGACTTCTGATAAAAATACATTGAGGGTGTAAGATGAGGAGATTACCATAAACCGATTCTTTGAACAATAGCAAGAATTACTACGTTTTCGAGCCTAATCCGTGGTAATAGCAGGAGTTGGAGAACTAGCAAAAACACCCTCAATTTCTAAAAATCCATCAAGTTATCATTTGACGTGCCCTTCTCCTGACGTCATGATCCCCATTTTTTTTCAGTTCCAACCATCATTCAATGATGGATCGTCGCTAGACGGATTTGGGGAATACGCGAACTACATGCCCGCCAAACGAGCCTTCTCGTTCCAAGCTGCTCGTGGAAAGAAAAGTATGGTCGGTGGAGAGAAGAGGTTGGTATTTTCATCTGCTTTTTATTAGCATCTCTTTTTTTTGTTCCTTTCATGTTCTGATGGATTGGGATGTGCTGTCCAAAAATAGAGGTTCCGGTTCATTCAGCAAACGAAAAAAGTAAAGAAAAAAGAAAAGAAGAACATGTTACATTTTGGTACATTTCCATCTATTAGAACATTTATTAGCATTCTCCAGTCAGAAAAGCTGGAATATGCATATCAATAATCATACCGGACCACATAGTCTTCTTTTTCTTCTTTAATAGATACTAATGAAAAAATGTCATGAAAAACGGATAGGAATTTTTTGATGTCTGACATTTCCAGATACTCGTACTTCCCATCTCGCGGATAACTCGACAGAGATCTCCGACCTTTGCGACAGATACGTCCGTCATCAATTATCTCCCTTTCTTTTCCAAAACTTTTCAGCAGAGCCCCCTTCAATGATAAATGCAGATCTCAGAGTTCTTACGATTATCCTTTCCCATTGTCAAAAATAAAGACATTCTGTTAAAAAACTGTTTATTTTGAATAAATATTTTCTTGGGATTTGTAACAGAGTTGAGCAGTATCCCGCTTGATTTATGCAAAAACAAGTTAAGAAGAAATCTATATAAGGCTTCCCGTTCTTTCACTGAATTAAGTCCGGCTAGGTTTCAGACGTAGATGTTATATCGAAAGTTAGGTCTTCATAAACAAGATGTGACTTTTAATTATATCTTGACAAAGATTGGAAGCTGGCGAGGGAGGGAGTGGACCTACCCGGAAAAGTTCCTACATCTTCATTTGAAAGTATAATGGATTGCGAGCCATTCGACATACCTCTACATATATTTTTAATGAAAACCAAAGACTAAATCAGGTAAATGAGAGGGTGGGAAATGTGTGAGCGATACGCGCGTGTTTTTGAGAGAAATGTTTGAATGAGATTGAGATTCTAGTCTAGACGGGAACACAAAAAATAGGGGTTTATGGAATGAAATAGGAATGTTCTTGGAGAATTTTAAAAATGGTACATTCGGTTATTGTTGGTATGTATCAGTTAGCCCTACATCAAGTTACGCGGTCCCAAGAAAACTTAGTTACATGGTTTTCGGGACTAATTTAGTTGATTGGAAACATACGTCAGATAACCCTGAAAGGCGTTCCTTTTTCGCAATCCCCTATTTTTCAATGGGACCCCTGAACTTGTTTAGGCGGTGCTTTGAGCCCCTTGGGTTACTGTGATGGTTCGGCTTCATATATGAGTGGGACAAGAAAACTGATGGGAAAATGCTGATTTTAAAGTTTTTGAAATCTGAAGAGAACGAATAAAATGAAAACTTAATTTTAATGTACTAGTATATATGTGATTCAACAGATTTACAATTCATTTCTTTGGGTTTTTATCATTCCTGATTTTCAGATAATTTTTCAAACAGTCGTGTAGCTTAATAACTATTTTTGGAAATTTATATCTGAGCTCTCCACAAAAAAGGAAGCAAATTTTTGTGATTCTCTTATCAGCAGTAGCTTTTAGACCACTGATATCAGTGTTTACAGTTGATTGAAAATAATGCTTGTCTTTTTTTTGCTAGATCAATTAATTCTAAGAATGTCCAACGATTGTGAAGAGACTTTTTGTATTTTGTTGTTTAGAAGATTGATGATAACATTTTCTGAGACTATAAATTCCTGGTAAGGTTTTAAGTTTTGGCTTCTTCCGGATAATGAAAATGGTCACTATCAATAATATTGGGAAAAACACGTTTGAATGTGATGGAAAATAATTGTCAAAGGGACGCCTGAATGGCGTGATCAAAAACATTAAAAGTTATTTTTCAATGGTAAATTTTCAAAAAGAATAAAAGAGTAGCTGTCGATGACAATCCTCAAAAATCTCTGGTTTTCATCTGAATACCGTAAAATCCCTTACAAAAAAGTTATGAGTTTTTAAAGTAATTTCAGTACTTATTTCTCACTTTTGGAGTGAATTTTGAAAGGGTTAATCATAGCACGCTCAAACAAGAGGTGAAATTTTAGATGGATTTTTTCGGCTTGCAGGTTCAAAGCGTCCGGAAAATAGTTATCTCGTTATTTACCATATACGGAAAAATATAAGTGTACCAATTTTCAAAAAATTCTCAAAGCTGTTCTGAAAACACTTCCCTTGCAAGGTACCTCAGGATGGATACTCCTATTACAGGTGACTTTCTAATACAGGTTTTACGTAATTTCTCTTGTTTGGTTTTCAGCGACTACTAATACCGCAGAAGAATAGCAGTTTCTCATAATTTTGCTACAACAATATGCCTTTATTTTTCTCCTCTACAAAACATCTAACCAATGTCTCTTCCAACAAAAAAAAACATGATAAAATTATTTGAACTGAGAACCTCACATTTTTCTCTTCCTACCAGCCAGTTTTGTTTTTTTCGTTATTTCTGATTTAATTGTAAGTCAAGTTGGTATTGTTTAAAACCAAAACGATTCGAACAGTAAGAGGGACACTTCAAAGTGTTGATGGTGGAAGGAAATGGTTTGAAAAGTCTTTGGTTGAAGGACAGGAAATTACGGGGTTCTCATTTCATACCCGAAAAATTCTCAAGGCTAGACAATAGCGATTAACGAAACATTCAGAACGGTAAGAGCCGCTTTTGTGGATTTGGCCTTTGAGTGGACTTGAAGAGCAGTCAGCAGCAGGGCTTGTTTTTTGTGACAGTTTTTTTCGGTTTCTTTTGGCAGATTGTTTAAATTGACGTGGCAGCAAGAACAAATTTCAATTAGTCATAATGAGTCTTTCTCGATAAGATAAATCTGATTTCCTGCGGCTTAGATTGATAACGAAACCAAAAATATTGAAAACTGAAACATATAATTTTATATATTTGAAAAATTTGAGGTTTGAATAGTCCAGCAGCTCGAATTTATCATTTCAAATTTAAACAGTTGTTAATTCGTTCAACTTCGATGAAGTAAATATTTTGACACTTTCTCATAGCTGAAATCGGAATTTGTTTTTCAGCAGTTTTGGTTTTATAATTCACGAAATTGCTGACACATTTTGGTGGGACCGACTTTATTCCGTCAATAAATTTTCCGAAATACCAAAGCACTACAGTAATCTTTTGGAGAAATCATCCCTAAGAACTCCAACTAATTAATGTTTTTCTCAAATTTTTTGCCTATCCACTCCGTGTCCTCCCGACACAGTTTGCAATTTGTAGTGAAATGAAGTTATAGAATTTCCCGTGCACATATGTTCTTCCGCTCGTCGTCATCTTCGATTCTTGGTTCAGTTTTAAATTTCAAAAACTATTACACACTACTGACACAGAAACAGAGAACTTCGGCACACGCACGCACACGCCACCCATACGCACACTTAAACTTTCTCTTTCTCGTTCAGTCATCAAGAACTGAATGTTTCAAGAAAATGGTTCTGCAGGAGGTCTCTATGGTGTTAATAGGCCGTCTCGCATCCTTTTTTATTCCGAAATACTGGAGACCACAGCCAACAGAGAGGGGTTCATCGTGTTAGAAGTCTGACGTTAAGGAAACAAGAGAGACATGGCAGACGATACGCAATTCATCGAGATAGTATGGCAGTTGAAGAGTGCAACGAACATTTGGACGGGGGTAAAGAAAAAGGCGATGGGAAGAAGATGACGATTGAGACGAGCGGGAGGAGAGAGGAAGAGAGTCGATGAGAGAGTGGAGAGCGGGTAGAGAAAAAGATGGAGAAAGACAGGGGGCACTAGTGCGTTGGTTTTACGTTGTGTTGCGCGCAGTATTAGCTGCTCTGTTTCTCTCGCTCTTTATTTTCACCGATCTCTTCTTCTTTTTTTGTTATAAAAATATTCATATTGTTTTTCTAGAGAAGGAGAGGACCCCAAATCGACGAGAAACAACCATCGATGGCGTGCCAAACTGGTATCAGAGGTGAGTAACGTTTCGGCGCGAGAAAAAATATTGGGGTTGCGGCGAGGGTTAAGTGATAGCCAATATTTGAGTTCTCGACTGGTTATTCCGCCTTTTTTGGCTGTGTCCAAACATGAGAACCATTTCAAAAACGAATCTAACCTTTTTTCGCCCCAACATGGAATCAAACTCCGATTCTTCCCTAATTGATTCCTCCCAAATTGATTCCTCCCAAATTTCCAGTATTCCACCTTCTCCAACAAATTCCAAAGGTATAATCTCTTTTCTGACCTTCTTTGTGGATTATTCCATCCCTAATCGTTCGATTCTATTCAAATTCTCAATGGGAGGTTTTAGTAAAGTGAACACCGTCTTCATCTCACCACACAGTCGTTTCACGACTATATACATAACCTTGACGCGATTCTTCATCGTTTTCTCCATTCTTCTCTCATTTCGTTTCTGAGAGAGGGAAAGGGTTCCGAAACAATGATGAGGATCCTGATATAGGGGTTCATGAGGCCCGAAGGGATAAAATTACACACATTGCTCATACACTCATGATCCGATCGCTTCAATGTTGACAATGAGTGTGGTGGATAATAATGGACAAAAACCCGAACGAGCTTTTGATTTCATCCTCCTCTTCGTTTCCCTACAATTCCAAATCCCGAGACCCGTGTATTTCTATCTATCCTCGCCACGGCCGTTTGTGGAGGGAGGTGCATTCCGTTAATAATGAAAACCTGCCCGGTGAACGAGGAGAGAAATAGTGCACTTACGGTTAGAGACTCTCCATTGGAGCGAACGCAACAGGCGAAAACAAACTGAAAGTCCCGGCAAATAGTGTGTTTTATCCCGCGAGCTACCCTCTCTCTCCCAGGAAACAGAGCAGCCCGATGTTTTATATACATTTTGGATATCTGTAAGACATACTGAAAAGGGACTACTAAGATACTCTGCCTTCTTGAAAGCTTCTTCTCCAGACACCCCACAAAACTATACAACATCAATTCTTTTGGGAGCGGTCCCAAAAAGAGGAAGCGGGAGAAGCTTTTTAGAAAATGGGACCCTAGACCAGAGCGAGCGCAAAAAAGAATAGAAGGGGAAACAGAAATGACGAGCAACACCACTAAAATGGAGACGTTTTGCAGCAAACGCCGCACTTCGAAATGCACTCAACTTGGGAAAACAGGCCAAACTGCGGCTCATCAAGATTGTCGTGAATAATGAGGAGATGACGCCAAACTACGAGTTCGCTGGAACTGCCAACTGGCGTGATGATTGGAAAGCGTGTCTACCGGAATGTGTGGATGCATATGAGCCATGCTTCATCTTGTTCCGTTTGAATACAATCACTGAATGGGTTTTGATAACGTAAGTTTTGGAATTCATGTTAGGGTGCTTGAAAAATGACTATTTTGCTTTTTCTAATTTGGAATTTTAGAATGGACTGATCAAAATTCTGGCTTTTCTGAACATGTTCTAAAAAACAACTCTATCATAATCGATCTCAATTTCGATAACAAACAAGATTAATGAATTTTTTGAAAAATGTGCACACATGTTTCGAATTTTTAAAGGACACGACACCCGAATGAATTCTTACAAATTTCATGGACCGCACATGTTTCTTGACAGAAAACTAACGATCTTGTTTTTTGTTGCAGATTCGTCGACGATCGTGCTCCGGTTCGCGAGAAGATGCTTCTGGCGGCCACATGTGCCACATTCAAAAGCGAGTTCGGACAGTGTTACATCGAACACGAGAAACATGTCACGGACCGTAAGGTTAGTGATCTGTGGTGACTGCACAAAAAAATGGGACAATTTGAATATGTAAATTGAAACAAAATCGTTGATGTGCTTACTGGAAATTTTTAAAAAATAATCAAATTGGAAAAAAAAAACAATTCTAAAAATTAAAATGTTCAACCTGGAAACCGTGAAATACAAGTTAAATTTTTTTATAAACCGTTTTGTTTCTTCCAGGATCTTACTCTCACTGCCTTCGAATCATGGCTGAAAGCAAAAACCGAACTGGGACCAATGAGTGAAGTTGAGAAAGAACTTCACAATGCTCAGCAAGAGAGAGCCGCCATCGCTCATGCCGGACCACAACATTTGAAGGTGAGTCTTGCTCATTTTTAGCTCTTACTTTGCTAAATGTGTCAATTTTTAGGGTGTCGCTTTTCCAGTGGATCGTAACGCTGAGGAAGCGCTGAGAAAATTGGCCCGACAGCAGCTGAGCTTCGTTCAGCTTTCGGTGAGAAACATCCTTTTCATTTTATTAAGTGACACATAGGGTTCCGCTGCAAGGAAGAATCCAATTAGTATAATTCATGTGTCTCCATAAAACAATAGAAAAAAGGAAATGCGGAACCACAATAAGCTATCTTATGAAGGAATATGCAAAGACTAATGCAGCTAAAAGTAGTCCATATGTCAGTCACATCGTCAAATGACATTATGCATTGCTACCTACATGTTTAATTCACATATACGTACTAATTCTCGTTTTGTTTTCAGGTTGACACACTCAACGAAGCCATCAAACTGGAAAACACTCTCGAGTCATTGGAACCATCTGCACTTGCATCCAAGGTGCCACGTGACAAGCCAAGATACACATTCTATAATTTTGATCATACATGGGAGGGTGTTCCACAAAAGTGCACTTGTAAGTTTTTATTACTCTGCATAATAAAACGAGATCTCAAAGAATTAAAACCAAGCCATAGTATGCGGAGTTCTATTACAAAATTTCGAATTCGCATAATCGACAATTAAGTTGAACAAAAAACGACTGGAGCAAAAGGAAGAAACAATTTAGACCTGACCTGTATTTTCCTGTCTCTAGTTTTTCCCTCTAGTTGTATGTCGTATCGTGCTGCAAATAGTCCTAATCTGAAAATTGTCCTGAATTCACGGAAAATACAATGTATGATCGTCACACAAGAGTTTCCCAATCGAAATCGTTTCCTGTTCAAAAGAGAGGGATTAAAATGAATATGAATGTTTGGTATTTCTAAAACTATGGGATCTTCTGATGTTTTTATTAATTAATAGCTCTTGACCACTGAGAAATTTTTTCAATAAACGGAAAACGAAAATTGACGTTAAAATGAAATTGACGTTAGATGAAATATGGGGACAAAGAAAGATACTAACAAACACATTTGTCGTCGAGCTGGAAACGAGCCCATTAGAAACTTAAGTATATAATTTAAAAAATCACAACATCAAAATTGTCAATTTCTATTATTGATTTTTTTTGAAGTTTTTTTTTCAAATCTAAAAAAAGGCCAGCGTCAGTCCGTTTTTGGCCCAGCAACAAGAACTAACTAATTGATCAAACTCAAGCAATACTATAACGATTAGCTTGAGGTTTAGTTTCACCTGTACTATGAAAACAACTCTCATTGAGCCATAATCTGAATGTATAGTAGTTTATTGGAAAAATATGTACATTATTCAAAGATCGTGAATTTATACCATTTTAGGAAAAAATGGTTGTATTTGGGTGCCTGAAAAAGTACTTACTGCTTGCCCCTTTGGTCTGAAAAATCAGAAGTTATAAAACAAATATAAAACTTTATTTTTGTACTTTTTACACATTTACTTGGTGGCGAGATACATAATGTCACCAAGAAAAAAACTTAAAATTTTTAAAATTACCACTGAAATTGGTGAAAAAAGAGAGAACTGTTTCGAGCGACATTTCTTCATAAAAAGTGATTGTACAAAACAGTTAAAAATATATAACAATGAAATTCTGTGTTTGATATATATTCTGTGAAATGTGCAGCCCAAATGGACAAGTGAGGTGTATTTTTGTAGGACACCCGAAGTTGACCATTTTCATTTGGATGGTCGTTTTGGGGTGGAACTTTGGCCAGCACTGGAACATCACGGTCAGAACGTGATAATCTGTTATCAGCTTAGCTAAACATGAAATAGTTCTGAATGGCCGACTTTTAGAGATATTATAAATTGAAATTAAGAAATTTTTTGACCACGATATTTTTCTAGTGTTCATCTACTCGCTGCCATCATCCGGAAGCTCAATCAAAGAACGAATGCTCTACTCCAGTTGCAAAGGGCCATTCTTGGGTGCTGCACAAAATCAATATGGAGTTGTCATCACAAACAAGGTGCGTAGTTACATAGAATTATAAATTGGAGAATTGGCTTAAAACACTGACGTAAAAAACTGGAAATGAAAAAAATCAACAAAAAAGACGCTAAGAAATTGAAATTCGAAATTTCAATAAAAATGTATTTTGTTGCTTGCTGCGGTAATATTTAGTCTATCTCCTAGTAAAACTCAATAAAAAGTTTTTACTCAATAGGTCTGGGAAAAAACAATACCATTCCTCCGTTTCAGATGGAAGTCGATGCTCGTGATGATTTGTCCGAGAAAGCTCTTCTCGAAGTCATCCATCCGCTTCCCGTTGAAGCGCCAAAACAATTCTCGCGTCCAGCTCCACCACGCGCCGGTCCACGTCGTATCACAAAGGTCTAACAATTTATTCCGACGTCTTCAACCCCTCTCTTTTTCCTTTTTTTTTCCTACTACCATATATTATATTTTGACCTCCACTCTCTTTCTTTCTCTCTTTTTTCCTCTATTTCTCCTTGTGCAGCCCTAATTGTAATTAACATCGCATTGTGTGTATCGCATTGACATACATGTTCACGAACCAGCAACCAAAAAAAAAAGTGTGTTAAAAAATCAAATATTCATCCCCACAACACAATTCTCTCTTCCCGTTTTCTTCACCTCTTTTTGCTCTCGCCGCTCGCCCCACCAATTTTTCTCTTCAAAAATACAATTTCTTATAAAATGATATTATGTATTTCTATTTCCTTTGTTTCTAGAATTATGTAAGAGTAATTGAGTGATACCAAGCTTTGTTTCAAACTGCCTGTACACCTTTCCTCCTTTAAATTTGTTTTAATGTTTTATAAAAGATTGCATAAAAAATGTCGCCTTCATTTTTTCACCCTTTTTAAAATGGTTTGTTGTGTGGCTTCAAAAATATCAATCTTTCATTTTCTTTCCACCCACTCCCGAAATTTATGTGTGACGTTCTGGACATTGGTTTTTATCACGTTTTCATATAAAAACTGAGTGACTGTGTATGTGGTGTGTACGCGCCTGGAAAGCTCGCCTTGATAGTGTTTCTTATAGTTTTTTGAGAATAGTTTTCTTCGATATGGTTAACTTAAAAGTCACAAGTTTCTTATTTTCTTCAGATGGTTGAAATGCTTAGGAACTTCCTCGCAGATTGTGAAAAAGAACGAGTTCGTAGGAAGAAAACGAACTAATAGGATTAATTGATAGATGATGGCAAACTAAATTTCTTGATGATAAAGCGACACAGCAAAAAAACGGAGAAAATTAGTAATTTGAAATTTTCTAGAGGTCAAGTTTAGTACTGCAATTCTTCCTTTTCCCTTTTTCAAATAATTTTTAAAAATCTTATTCCAACTATCAGCCCTCATTTCAAATTAGTATCTTCTTCAATAACAATTAGGAAAGTCATAAATCTTGGAATCTTAGGAACAAATAAAAAAGAAAAACTTCCACTATAAAACTGTCATCCAACCCCATTCAATTACCTCTAATTCATTATCAAACTTCTCTTATTTGTACTCATTTTTTTCCTATTCTCTTTTGTTTGGTTTTTTTGAAGGAATGGAAATCATAGAAACGGCAAAAAAAACCGCCGGGCGAGGGCACAGAGAGTTCCACGGGACTTGATTTCCGAAACGTTTTATTGCTAGTTGCGATGGACGTGTTGTGCCCCCGGTGTCAGGGAGCTCCTCCACCGAAACATTCTTTCTTCTTCACACATTTTGGCGTAGTAACATTCTGCCGAAGATCGATTTCGATGGGAGGGAAGAAAATGTGCAGACAAGACGAGTATCCGCTCTTTTCTCAATCAAAATTAATTGTTTCATGTGATGTACATAGAACGGAAAATGGTGCCAAGCAGTCAAAAAGAAAAAGTTTCCAAAAAAAAGACGTTTTGAGTGACAAGCAAAATCAGAGCGCACAAAATGACGATTGACAAAAAGTCTGTGGGATTCTGGGAGGGTGGCCGTGCTGTGTTTAGCACACCGCCAGCTGACCGACACCGCCGCCGACCATTGCGCCCTGCGGGAAAGAAGAGCTATCGCCCCACTATTCACCCAAACTAGCACCATCTACCCGAAAAAAGTGTTTATGATATTGGAAGATGAAGATTGTTAAAAACCACGTCGTACCTGTCTACGCGATTCTCCTTTTTGTTGTGATTGATTTGGTGCAACCAACTTTGATTCCGTTTTCCTCGTTTTCCGAAGACGCTGGTGACATCAGATTTCGGAGGTTTTATAGGAACTCACGACGAGTTTCTAGAGCAGCGACCGCAAAAAAGGAGAGAATATGGCCGGAAGGAATTATTCCGTTTGTGATAGCCTCCAATTTCTCAGGTGAGAGATCTGCAAAAAATAAACGAACTTAGGGAATTGAGAAAATTATTTTTCGAACTATATCATTTGGCGCACCAAATTTAAAAAAATTGTGAGTTTTAAAACATTCAATACTCGACTGCGTTTCAAAAATCATTTTAATTCAATGATTCGAACGTTTTTTTTTAATTTGTACTTTCTCTCCATGAAAACCTTTTTTTTCATATTTACAAGTAAAAATACCTACGGGTACTTATAAATATTTTCTATCTGAAACACTACAGGATTTTCTAAAAGCATCAGATTTCAGGAGAACACCAACACCTATTTCTCCGCGCAATGAGGCACTGGGAGAACTACACGTGTGTATCTTTTGTTCCTCGACAAGCACACCACAAACATTATATCACTTTTACTGTGGATAAATGCGGGTGAGTCAATTTCAACTCTTTAAAAATCGATAAATGTAAACAAAAACATTAAAAAAGAACTGCGATGTCATAATAGGATTATGTGGCCCGGTGTGTTTCTTTCAGCATATTTTTCTACGGAGACTACTTTTTCCAGCAGGTGGCTTTCTTTTTTTCCTTTTAGTGTCTGATAAGTCGAGGGAACTTTTATCAGTGTATGTCAGTTTCCCACTTTTGATGTGTCGCTTGCCTCCTGTGTCTGACAGCTTACACAACAGATATCAGTGATAAAAATTCCGGGTTCATTGTGTTTTCGAAGAAAAGAGTTGATTGTGAAAAGGAACAAATGAACCCCTCTTCACTTTTTTATGTTTTAGACATATTCAGTGGGTGTAGTTCTAATCTTTTTCTGCGTAGATCTAATTGGCATCATCTTCAAAGCCGCGGCCCTAAAAACTAAAAATGTCTCGGTAATTTGAGTAAGTCAAACCACTCAGGAAATAGAGCAAAAAAGGAGAAAAAAAAGAAAAAAGGAAGAACATTTTAATTGCTCACCGAAGCTGTTAGGTCGGTGCAAAAGTTTCACAAAAATCTTAGCTAAAAATTGTCTGATGAGTCGTTAGCCTAGATTTTGTAGTCACTAGACGTATCCTGTTTCGGCGTTATCGCATACAAAAATTAATGGGAAAATAAAAAAAACGATTGGGAAATTCGAAATTTTGTAGACATTCGTCAATCGTCTAAGATTTCGTGAGATTTTGAGGAATCGAACCTGGGTGGTCAAATTTTGAGAAAAGTGCAATCCGTTCAGTTTGAAAATTTTTCTTGTTTTTCTGTTTCAAAACATGTTTTGAAAATCTGATTTAAGGCGTTTCAGGTAATTTTTTTTAAGTTGCCAATTTTTGAGTATTACTGTTTTTAACATTAAGCTCTGTAACTTCATTCCAAAGCATTTTCGGAGAATGGGATACTTGAAAATGATGAATGATATGGATGATTCGGTTAGATATTCTGCACTCCCATGCTAGAGAACGATTCTAGAGCCCGACGATTTTTTCAGATTAAGATATCCGCGCTACATACTCTCTCAAGACTATCTAAAAATAACTTCCAGCCATCAACCCCCGTTTTTGAGACATAGTTCGTTCAAAGACCAGCCAGTCTGAAAATTGAGAAGAAGTCAGTAAGATTCCGCCAATAACGTTGTTGAGACCCATGACAATGAGCTGTTCTAAATCAAGAAAAGATTTTGAGTAACTTTTGAAAATTTCTGAAAGTTTTGTAGCAACTTGATGTTGGTTATTTTTTGTTATAACATTCATTAAAGTTTTTGAAGTTAAAAACAGAAAAACGCATATATTTCATATATATATATATATATATATAAAACGCTACACGCTTCTGTCTGTATCGGTGTCAGGCTGTGGACTTTTGAAAAATTTGAAAAATAAATATAGGTTCACGTGACCCTCCAAGAAAACGTGAAGAGCCGAGCGACGAACCAGTAAAAAACAAGGTTAAACCGCGCAAAAGGCGCACCAGCTATCTGATCGAAACGCCGGAGGTGCGGCAAACTACGAATCAGCTATTTTGAAAAAAAAAACGTTTTTCAAGCTTCAATATCAAAATGAAAGGTTCTTTGTTGAAGAATGATACTTTATCATCCCCACATTTCATGAATCCTGAAGCGAAAAAAACCGTAATATGTTTAGATGTTGCTCCTATGTTGGCCGTCGTGGCGAAGGGCCGCAAGCAATTTCAATAGGCAAAAACTGCGACAAATTCGGAATTGTTGTTCACGAACTCGGGCATGTTGTTGGCTTCTGGCACGAACACACACGTCCCGATCGGGATATGTATGTGGATATATTTTACAAAAGTATACAGACAGGTTGGTACATATGCTGAATTATGGCTTTCGTAGAATATAAATTCTCAGGACAAGATTACAATTTTGAAAAATCCAAGCCTGACGAAGTGGACTCTCTCGACGAGCCATACGATTTTTCATCTATCATGCACTATGCAAGAGATACATTTTCAAGAGGAGCATTTTATGATACAATTCTGCCAAAACCAAATTCAGGTTCGTCCCTTTGTTTCTCTATTCTGCCAAACCTAGCCGATCCCGTCACTTTTATTTTCCGAGCAACCGCCCAAGAAAAATTCCCATTCCCCTATTTTCCCGAGGATTCTCATCCTTTTGCTCATCAATCTTACCGGAAGAACCTCTTCTTCTTTCCAGGATTTCGATTGGAAATCGGGCAGCGTGTGCAGCTGAGTGACGGGGACATTCGTCAAACGAAAAAGCTCTATAAGTGCTCAGGTTTTTGCTGAATCTCGGGGTTAAATTAAATTTTTGTATTCTCAGAATGCGGAGGTACTTTGATGCAGGAGTCCGGTAATTTAGCAGTTCAACAGCCAGGGATGTGTGTTTGGCACATTATTTCTCCACAAGGACACACAATTTTCCTTAATGTGACAGGTTGGTCCAAAAGACTCCAAGAACGATAGAGGGTAAAAATAACTGGCAAGAGAAGTTCAAGAACCAAAAACTATCAGTTATCAAAATCTTTCTAATAATTGAAGAACTCATAAATCAAGGTCCGCAGAAGCAGGGAATGCGAAAAATATCAACTCTCGCATTTCCTGATTTCCTGCGTTTCATTGTCTTCCGACACTTGATGCATAACTATTTTCTTCCACCTCCCCCTCCTCAACTCATCCAATAACCAATTTTTTTGTTCTCAATCCCGTTTAAATGTAAAATGTCTGAGAAGAGAAGAGCTCTTTTGCCGGTGTTCTATCCTTCACTAGACTGTGTGTGCACACACACACTAGTCTTCCCTCCACCACCACCAAGTCAACCTAATGACTCCCCCCCCCCCCCCACACACACACACACACATAAACCTCAATATGCGGTGATGAGACGGCAGTCCAGTTGTTTTTTTTTCGTTTGCGTTGAATGGATTTCTTTCAGATCTCTATCACATTTTCTGATGATTTTTTGTCATTTTGTTGTAGGAGATAGTATTTTAATTCAGGATCCACCCTATTACCACCTACGACAACCTGTACAAACGAGGTGGACAATGTTATTAGCGTCCGAGACGGAGTATCGATTTCTTCGCCTTTGTTGGGTATGGACCATTTGCGCATCAGCGTTTTCTAACTTTTTCAAATTTAGATCGAGTGTGCGGAGGAAGCAAACTATTCCGGACTATTGCCTCTTCTGGAAATCGGATAACAATCCAAGTACAGTCGACTCATCCAACTCCATCGCTCCCGTTCGCCACCTATTATGCTATTTGTGGAGGGCCAATCTATGCGAATAAAGGAGTTATACATGTAGGAACCCAGAAACTAGTCAATTGACAAAGTTTAGGATTTCCAGAGCCCGAAATACCCGGAATCGTACCCACCAAATAGTGACTGCCAGTGGACGATACATGTGGATGAGAATAGTCAAGTGGCAATTGAATTCGTATATTTTCATGTAGGTGGACTGGAACGCCGGCTCGCTGGAATTTCATTTTTCAGCTTGAGCAGCACAAGGAGTGTATTTATGACCGATTGATTCTGACAGAAGGATCATCGAAAGTTCTGAAAAAGAACGGAAAAGAGACTAGTGAGACTTTTTGTGGACAAATCGAGAAAAAGACAATTGTCAGCAAGACGAACCAACTTTCTTTACGGTAAGGAGGTGCAAAGAATGAGAAAATATTATGATGATTTCATAGGAATCTGATACGCAGACTTCGCAGCTATTCAATAACTTGTGCCTGAAATTCTAGAATTTCCACTAACTAGAAATTTTAGAATGTAAATACAAAATGTCGAGACGTTCAAAAACTGAAACTTATGAAATTCGAAAATTACTGTAACGCTCTATTAGAAGCTTACTCTATAAATGCACTGCGAGCTCAGTTATCTCGTTTCTTCCAAACGCCATGATAAATTTTGTCTGATGAACTATTTAACATATATCACCAATGTTTTATCAGTTGACACGTCTTTAATATCTCTTATATGAACCGACATACTAAGCCCAAAGTGCACGGTTAGGGACAATTGAAAATTTTTGTTCCAGCTAGAACTTCAGGAAAAATTCATGTTAGCTGTGTTTTCCTCGTACTAAGATTTCACGTTTCCTGAACAAAACTTGAGATTCATTCAGAACAAATTATTGTCACTCAAGATAACCATAAATCGTTCTATACAAATCGTAGTTTTCATTCTTTTGACGTTTTCCCAATCCTTACGTATTCTTTCTCATCGACCCCCCCCCCCCTATCTGAAATGACATAATCTCACACTTTTCCAGTTTCTTCTCGGACAATTCCGTTCAAAAAAGCGGATTCGAATTACGATTTTCCAAAGAGCTGAACGAATGCGCAACGGACAAGAACATCTGCCATCATTATTGCGTGAACACTGTCGGTGAGTTGGTGGGGAGGTCATTTATCTTTTTTGTGGGAGAAGCGCCAAAACCAAATCATCATACGACTTTGCATCACTCACGGATTCAACAACAGCTGTCCCATTCGACCGGTGGTAGTGGTTTCAATAGGGTACATGTACCATTAGATATCTGTTTGAGTGAAGCTTCTTCAACCCCCGTCTATTGGTGGTCTACGCTTCGTTTAGTTTCTTCTCATATTTGAAACGCTGGTTTTTCCCGCTACTAAAAAGAACATTTTCCGACGTTTCTAATTCAGTCACTGCGTTCTCCATGGAGATTCGTCAGAATGTCAAGCTTTTTTCTTCGTAAAACTTCTCTGGAGAGTTTTGTCTGAAGAGGAGAGGAAATGAAATATGATGTCTAGAAAATTTGAAGATTGGACTTTCAAGTTTTTCAGGTGGATTCAAATGTGCATGTCGGGTCGGGTACAGCTTATCTGCAAATGGATTCTCGTGTGATAGCACCTGTGGAGGTTATCTCAAAGCTTCAAACGGATCAATATCCTCTCCAAATTTTCCGGAGATGTATCCCAACTCAAAAACATGCGTCTGGGAAATCGAAGCACCAGAAGGCTACCACATCTTCATTAATTTTACCAAATTTACAGTAGAGGGAATGAAGACAGAATGTGCCTACGATTACGTCACGATTGGTGACAGTGAGAAATTGTGTGGGGAGTACGGTAGGTTCATTGCTCTATTTTTAAAAAAACGAGGGTGAGAGGGACCACATCATTTGTCTTCAGACAAGCCATTACTCTTCACAACACCAAAAAACCGAGTACGAATCGAGTTCAGCTCCGATTCATCTGTTGAGAGAGATGGATTCTTTGCCAATTTTATAGCTGATTTTGATGAATGCCAAAACAACAATGCCGGATGCGAGCATGTATGCCAAAATCGGCTGGGTTGGATGAAACATCATCGATCAATCATATTACGAAGTTTTCTATGTTTTAGGATCCTATGTATGTACTTGCAATCCAGGATTCATATTGTCTGAGGACAGGCATAATTGTAAAGAAGGAAGTTGCTTTTTCGAGGTTAATGCTCCATCAGGTATGGACTAGAGAGAATGTTTACCAGCTCTAGTTGCGAGTTTTCAGGTGAAATCAACTCTCCAAACTATCCAAACGACTATCCGAAAGGACAGAATTGCTCCTGGCATTTTGTCACAACTCCAGGACATCGGCTTATGCTGGTAGGTCTCTGATATAGTTGTTCTGCAAAGCTTCTAGAAATGAGATACGCATCAAAGGTTATATTCATGCTTACAATGAAGTTTAGTTTATGGTTATAAAAAGTTTAGAGGCTCGAAAAATGTTATCTAAACTGTAATGGAATTGATATATTTCTAATAACTTTTACACATTCAAATTTTGATAATCCCATATTTCGTTTATGAATCCCTTTGCTAGTAACTGCTTTCCATTAGTACTTCAACACCCTTCCTCTCTCTATAATTTTCTTAATTTCGAATTTTCCTACAAAAATTTCCCAGAAATTCACTTCCTCGAAAAGGTGAACATTTCCAATGACGTATACTCTGAACTCCTGAACACCAATTATGCTGTGCTGTTTTTTCCCCATAATCTATATCATTTTTAAATGTTTCAGACATTCTCCATTTTCCAAGTTGAAGAGCACGCTCAATGCAAGTATGACGCTGTTTCAGTGTTCGACGGAGGCGATGACTCCGCCCAGTTGGCTGGTGAGCTTTTTTCTTGTTGGCTTGTAGCTCAACTCATCTCTCCTCTCTTTTCTACACCTACCGTGGCCCATCCCTCTCAATTCTAGCATTTTTAAATCGTCTTCCCCTTTTCATTCCTTATTTTGACAGGCGTTTTCTGCGGTTTGACTCCGCCTCCTCTTCTTTTGTCGTCTTCCAACGAGCTCTATCTCACGTTCTCTTCCGACGCATCAGTATCTCGACGAGGCTTTCAGGCTCAATACACTTCTGGTAAGTCCTATTTATTGATTTCTAGCAGAGAGTGAGCCGGGGTTATTTAAGAGTTTCTTTCTCGATAGATACATATTCGCTTTTCAGTGTGTGGGGGTCGTCTGACTGCTGAATCAACGCCAGGACACATCTACTCGCACGCGACGTTCAGTGATAGCAAGTATGGAAAGAATCAGGTTAGCTCGTTTGATTTTTGTCTCCCAAGTAATCTTCCAGTATCATATTGTTAAATTTTGAATACCATAGCAAAGGATGAAGTCAAAATAAATTCTGATTGATCTAATGAAGTTTTTTTCTAAGGTTCAAGGTTGCAACACAGTGGGCGGGCCGGTTAGTTTTGACTATAGAGAAAAATGAGCGGGTAATGGTTGCATGATTAGTGTAGGTGTTGTCCCAAAAACACTTTTTCAAAAATTTCAAAAATACTAAACCTCTAGTTACTGAGCTACGGAGTAAGTTTACAAATTAAGAAAAAAATGTAATACTTCCTTGTCTCCTTCTCCCTCCTTTGAATATTTGTTTTCTAGCTGGGTTGTTCTATCATCTCAATGAAACTATCTAGACCTAATCGGCGTTGCTCCGAAATTGCGGTTCACGCTCATCTGGATCTGTGAAAGACGTAAACTCTAATTTTAGGCTTTCCCCCTTTTTCGCTACCGTAGTTCATTTCCGTCCTTGCTGCCCTAGTGTCACTTTTCATTACAATTTGAACGCTAAAATCTACCCTTTTTCCCGTTTTGGGTTTTATACTGTAGCTGTTTTTTCCTTCAATCGCTTTTCTTCGTATGACGTGTGGGAGAAAAAAGGAAAGACACCGAGAAAAGTTCTATTTCTCATCAATTTTCGGCTTTTAATTCTTTCTCAGCTTTAGCTTGAGTGAGATTTCGGAAAAAGGAATAGAACCACCAAAAATAGGGATTGGCATCTGGGAAAATAAGAAAATGTTTTCGAAATGAGTCGCCCCCTCACCCATTAGTGGACTACGGTATACTTTCGAATTCTCCAATTTACGACAGCTCATAAAGAAGGTCGATTGCTTTTTTTTGGCTTTTTCGGCTTTTACGACCGCCGGAAATATCCATGGAAATCCAATTTCAACATCACTATTACGAGCAACCTTCGGGGATGTGTATTGTGACGTTTTTTAGCTTTTTTTTGCTCTCTCATTTGTACATGTGCTTTCAGGATTGCACATGGAGTGTGAGAGCCAAATCACCTGGGAGAGGAGTTCGCATTCAGTTTTCAACATTCAACGTGGAATCTGAAGAAGGTTGTCAGTACGATTACATCGAGGTGAGAAACTAGTAGCCTAATTGAACGTTCCAGATTGGTAGTTTAGTCTTGCTGTACTTTTAAAATGGACGCGTTCGAAAGTTTAAAACTAGAAGCTTCACGAAAATAAAAATACAGCTCAGTGATACTAAGAAAAAAAAATAATTATAGGCATACAGTTTAGAACATATAATTTTATTACAGATTTACGACGGATCTGAAGCAACTGTAGAAGCTCTGGTAGGTCGGTTTTGTGGTGACATTATTCCAGAAGTCATTAGTAGCACAGGTACGACCTTCTGAACTCCTAGCACGCCTCAGTCCACAATTTTAGGTCCTGAGCTTCTCTTGATTATGCACACCGATAACGCGGAAGAAGAAAAAGGATTCGTAGCGGAGTATCGAGAAACCACAAGATCCAGTTCGACAAAAAGGACTTACGTGTCAAGAACACGACACAATCCTCTAGAAGAGCCAATACACGATCGCCGGCGAGAATGAGACCGATGGATTTTTTCCTCTTCCGTGAACTTTTCATTTTATCTTTTCTCTTCGTTTCTCTTTTGCTTTATTTGACGATTTTCCGTGTTTTGTTCCGTTCTCGTTGCTTATCATAATTCCTTAGAACCCAATAAAGAAATTTCAGGTTTGACCGTTCTCCCAGAAAGATGTCGGATTGGATGGGAAGACTGCCCTGTTTTGTGAAGAAGAAGGCGTTTTGTATGCTGGCCATTCCGGGCTCGCATGATTCGGGAGCATTCTGGTTCAATCTTCCACTTGGATACGCTCACGATCAAGCATTCATTGATTACGTGAGACGATTCAAATGTATGCTCATAAAGAACATTTTCAAACGATGGGGACTCACTCAAAAGTAAATTCAGAAGTTTCGGATTCGGCGAATATAACCATTCGGGTTTTCAGTTTAACAATTGTGGAGCAGCTTGAAAATGGAATCCGATTTTTTGATCTTCGCCTGGAGTTGGCTCTGGATGAAAGGTGCTTTGCGGTAAGAAGCATGGGAATTCTTTCGCAACCTTTTTTGATATTAGTTTTAGTTGTCTATCAGTTAGCTTAATGTTTCTATTTGTTTTGCAGCAACCAGAAGTCGAACAAGACCCAAACGATCCAGTTAGAAAGGTAGCCATGCACTCACATTTCTTATTTTCGTTTGTCTTCACTAACAAGTTATTTTTGTTACCTTTCCTAAACCCCGTTCCTGTGTTTCTTTCAATTCTTTACCTTTTAAAGTCCGAAAGAATTTCAATGTGTTGTGTCGTCTGCATAATAAAACCTTCTCCCCTGCAAGTGCTAATTTCAGAGCTGCTTCATCGTACACGGACTGTACGGAACCGATTGGCTCAAACTCGTTCATCAGATTGTTTCTTTTCTCGCAATTCACACGGAGGAGGTAATTCATCATCAATCGAGACATTCCCACTATCATTATTTCTAGGTGATAATTTTGAATGCCAGTCACACCTACCGCATGGATGATCAACACTTCCGCCGATTCTTCCTCCACCCGCTAAAAAGAGTCGCCAGCAGATTCCAAATTGGACTTTGTAGCACAAAAGTCGATCTTCGAACTATTACCTTAGAGGAGCTCTTGTGCAACAACTTCCGGTTAGTTCGATACATTAAAATTTTGCTCATAGAAAATTTGTTGAAAATTTAAGCCTTGTGTTCCATTATCGCGGAGTTTGAAAAGAAAAAGGCGTAGCCTTTGTAAAATTGATACATTAAAAAAACGAATTCCTCGTATACACCAGTTTTTAAGTTTTTGGGGCTCCTGAAAATTTTAGTTTTCAGTGATTATTTTATTTTTTTTTCTAGCATTATCGTTGTTGGACCGAAAGACCAGGATGTTGATGATATTTGCTTTCGATCCGCAGCCATCCAAAACAAATGGCCAAGAAAAAACAATGCAGCCGATATTCTTACGTTTTTAAAAGCTGAGATTCATGCTCCAATCACTCCAGGACTCCGTGTGCTTCAAGGAGTTATTACTCCAAAACTCTCGGATGTTGTACGTTTCATTTTTACCGCTTTTTGAAACAGTCATATTTATAGATTCGAAACTTTCGCAATTCGCTGCGAACTATGTTTTCTATGCCACTACGTGGGTTGATCAAGGAATGGCTTGCTGGGTTGGATGAGGAGGAAGCTGGACTCATGAATATCATAATCACGGATCAAGTAGATACAGAGTTTTGCCGTCTGGCCTACTACTTAAACGTAACCGATTGTCCAGATCATTCACTTGACGATCAAAGAAACCCGCACCTAGACACTAATCCAGTCGTCAACGATATACCAAAGGACATAATTTCATCACCACGTCTACAGTTAATTGAAACCAAAAATGGGATTGCACCACCTGCTAGGAGATACAGCGAGCCAGAATTCCTTATAGAAGAAATTTTCGATGACGAACTATCCACATCTTCTGATGCTCCAAAAAAACCGATTCGTGCTAGTGTGATGATCCAGCAAATTGAGATGGTTCCAGCGAATCAAATGGACGGAAGATGTAGCTCTCCAGTTTCTCCAGTTCCACCACCAAAGCCAAGACGACATACTCAACGTATTCCCTTCGTGATGGAGGTGGAGCCAATACCAGATGACGTTATGCCGTGCCGATCGATCACCCGAGGTCCGATGTCTAGACCAACCGGTACTCCGGTTCGCATTGCACTTCCTGTAACTGCGGAAGAACTGAGATTGGCTGCTCTGGGCGAGTATCCACCATACGGATCGGGATTCTTTTATCGAGTTGTTAGCAAGAAGGAAGGGTCAATAACTGAAGGATCAATTTTTGAAGACACAATAGTAGACGGCCCTCAGGAGCTAGCTCTACCAGCTTCGACGACATCACTGTCCTATGCTGAGGAATGTGAGGCTTCAGCCGACGAATCCTCTCCACTCATCTCCACCGAGATTGAGCATATGGTCGAGAACCTTGTCATCAATTCTACCCTGGACGCTATGGACAACTTGGCTGGACGTTTCCAAAAATACTCTGAATAGACACTGATCTAATTAGATCCCGATTATGCATTCTTCCCACACGTGTTTCGTTTTTTGATGAATGCTGGCTAGTGGAATTCATGAAAACAACTGTTTCTTCAGCTTATATACTTCCATAAGTCAGTATTTCATCTCAAAAGTCATTATTTTATCACGTTTCAATTTCCCTGCTTATTGTCAAATTACACAAACTGGGACCTGAAAATCTTCGCGGGTAACGCTACGAGGCATCGCTCCCAAAACGGATACTGTAGATAGCAAATTAATTTATGTGAATTTAGTGGGATTTTCTGAACAAAATTTAGATTTCTTGGTATGAAAATGATTGCTAGCATCTCTAGAATCTGTTTCTCATCGAAAAAATGAACTTAATTGCGAAAGTAGCTCGAACGAGGCGAAAATCTGAAATATTACGTTTTTGCAGAGCTTTTTTGTAGATCAAAAAATGCGACGATTTTCAAATTTTAAGGTGTCACTTTTTTTTTAATTCGACAATACATTCCTAGAACCCAAGAACAACCACTTTTGAGCATCCTCTATTTTTCTCTTTCTAAAATTCTAGTTGATCACCAATCAATCTTCCTAGAACAATTTTCTCTTACGCCCACTTTATATTTTTACACAAAACTTTTTCACTGTGTGCTAGTCGCTATTGCTTGTAGTCACCATCTTTCCTCCTTCCATAAAAAATTATTCACGTCAATGATGTGTTCTCTTCAGAATTCATGCTGCCACAGTAGATACTCTATTCGCGTCACATTTTTTTCTTCTCCAAAAAATTTCAGTGAACCCCCCCCCCCAGATTGCACTTGCAAAATTCCTAAAATATTCTGTCACATTCCCAAAAAAATCTTTCTTTGTGAAGATTTTCGATCATATAGTATTTATTTTTCTCTTCTGATGTGACGAATTCGAATTCAATGGTCTAACTATTCGTTTGGTGTCCTGTTCATTTTATTTTGCATTACTTTCTTCATTTTCTTATTCAAGTCTAAGTCCCCATAAAAGTTTCCAGTGCCAACTTTCTTCCCATTGGCTAATGACTTCATTCCCGTTGTGAAAATTATATTCTCGGTTTTTATTCGACTAATTCCGTTTCACTGCAATTCTTATATATTGTTCACTATGCTTGATTTTACCAGACATTTTTTGGCAACCGAATAAATTTACTGATATCTTTGGTTTGTATCGTTCGTCTAAAACCGCAGTTTTTTTTTCACTTTTTCATATTTTCGAACTGATTGCTTTAGAAGGACATTTATTGGAAAACAGAATGATTGCTAATTTAAGATATGAATGAAGTCGTGCTGTGTAATACTGAATCAAAATAAAGTTTAGAGTCATAAACTCTTAAAAAAACGGCTCCGATCACTTTTTGATGGATCCATTTGATTCTTTTCTTCACCTTGTAGTTGAAACCGTAAAAGGTTCAGATGCGGTAGTTGGAACGGTAGTAGGTTCAGAGCTGGTCGTTTGAATATGATGTAGGTTCGGAGGTGGTAGTTGCATCTGTAGTAGGTTCAGAGTTGGAAAATTGGATATGAGTAGGTTCAGAGCTGAAAGTTGAAACTGTGAAAGGTTCAGAGGTGGTAGATGGAACTGTAGTTGGTTCCGAGGCGGTAGTTGAAACTGTAGAAGGTTCAGAGGCGGTAGTTGGAACTGTGAAAGGTTCAGAGGTGGAAGTTTGGATATGAAGTAGGTTCAGAGCTAGCAGTTTGGTTATGAAGTAGGTTCAGAGCTGGAAGTTGAAACTGTGAAAGGTTCAGAGGTGGTAATTGGAACTGTAGTAGGTTCAGAGGTGGTAGTTGAAACTGTAGTAGGTTCAGAACTGGAAATTTGGACATGAGTAGGTTCAGAGCTGGAAGTTGAAATTGTGAAAGGTTCAGAGGTGGTAGTTGAAACTGTAGAAGGTTCAGAGGCGGTAGTTGGAACTGTGAAAGGTTCAGAGGTGGAAGTTTGGATATGAAGTAGGTTCAGAGCTAGCAGTTTGGTTATGAAGTAGGTTCAGAGCTGGAAGTTGAAACTGTGAAAGGTTCAGAGGTGGTAATTGGAACTGTAGTAGGTTCAGAGGTGGTAGTTGGAACTGTAGTAGGTTCAGAGGCGATAGTTAAAGCTGGAGGAAGCCATCAACGATAGAACAAGCCATCAACGATGCATGTTTAGAGGGGTAGTATTTATCAGAAAGGAGGTTACTGTAGATTCTAGAAGAAGAAGCTAAAGGTTAGGATGATAACTGAACTACTCATAAACAGTGGTACGGCAATGGAACAAGCCATCAACGATGCATGTTTACCGGGGTAGTATCATATGTTATCAGAGAGGGGGCTACTGTAAATTCTAGAAGAAGAAGAAAATATGAGAGAGAGAGAGAAACACCATAAATACCACTACATCCATATCCATGTGTTCCTTCTTCTCCTTTTGACTTTAGGCCCCTCCGAGCTTCTTGAAATTGACGTGCCTTCTGACATTATAGAGTTGAAAACGGTATATTCAAAATAACTTACCGGTTGTTCACAGGCGATCTTCGGAGTTTTTCCCTCTGTCTATGTGGATTTTAAAGACTCAGCTGCCTGACGCCCGTCGCTGTGCAATCCAGTCCGAGGTCTGCAATAATCAATAAATGGAGTGGGGTCTCTTTTCTTTTTTACATGTCTTTTTTCCTCACAGGGCAAATCTGTCAGGCCTAATTTGATGTGGCATTAATTGCTTTGGGTCTGTCAGATCTGAATCGCAATTTGGAATCTGTTTATCTAAACTTCAGATATGAAAATCAGACATCAAATAGGTTTAAAAAAAAAGTGAGGATTTTTATTGAAAATATAAACCAATTCCGAAATCAAACTCCAGTCCCACACAAATGAAAAGGCATTCACAATAAAAATTAGATTTCTAGAAGCCGACAAAAAGCTAAGAAATTTCAAGTCGTTCAGGAAATTCCAGACAATATTACCGTATTTCCTCTAATAGAAGTCCACCCAAAAGGTCAACTTCGAGCTCATTCTTCTCGATTCCTGGAAAAGGTATCAGGAAGTAGTCAACTATCAAAATATTGTTGATGTTGTGTTGAATAATTCATTAGTTGATGACTTTTCGATATATTTTGATAAAATTTTGTAGTACTAGTCGAATTCTATCATACCTAATAAAGTCGGTCCAAAAATACTAACTCTGCAGGAAACAATGGCAGGACTGGCGAAGGCCCGGGAAAGGCCCGGATTACAAGTATGCTATATTTTTAATACCTTGAGTTGTCTATTTTTCACGGAGAGTGTTTGAATGAAAAGGAGGAGGATATTTATTGCCCGATGCTTGCAGAACCAATTTACCTCTAGTTTATGACATCATGATGAAAGCATTGTCCTAGTTCTCGTTATCCGGGTATACAGCTATTTGGATGTGACGTTAGTTTTGTTGCCAAAAAAGTTTCCTTGTCCATTAACAGAGATTGTGAAGGCGTCAAAATTCGCAGCATTTCTCATGACCACGAGGAAAATGGGCGACACGAGCTTTGGAGGCTGATTCTCTTCGGCTCTTTTGTTTCGGCAAGGTCCCATCACAAACGGACAATGTGCAGTTTCGGGCTGAAATGATTTTTCAAAGGTATATTTTCAAACTATAATATACCTATTGCTTTTATCCTGGAACTCGCTGAACTGCTTGCCTTGGGAGGCCACTGAATGGGTTGGTGGAAATAATTGCAATTTTGAATTTTCAGAATTTGGGTAAAGAAAGTTCATTGATTAAAGAGCAGAAATTTGTGAATAATACTGAGCAGTTTGGAGTTAGGGAAATTGATATTGGCAAATTTGAAGGTCCAATGAAGGCTGAAAGTTCTGAAACTTTTGGTGACTCACCTTCGCTGGATTTGAATCATGATGTTCTAATGGAAGTGTCAGAGAAAAATGGATCAGAAGGAAGGGAACAGTCTGAAGTCCCAGATTCTGTACAGTTGCTCAAACATTTATAACTGAAATAAGCAATTAATTTTGAATTGGAAACAACTCCGCAGGATGTCAATATGGAACATTTGGATGATTTAGATGTGCGTATGCATCAAAAGAGCCAATCGTGTCTGAAAAGAAACCCGACGAAATGGAGAAGCAAAAAGATCCGGCGGAATATGGGACAGTTTTGACGTTTAGGTGAATTATATGAGAAAATTGAAGAAAAATCCGCCACCCCCCAAAAATCCCAACGGTCTGACATTTTATGTTTTTTTCAACTTGCTTGGAGCAAAACTGAGCTACCAATCAATTTTTTGTTCATTTTACGGAAAGCTTAAGTGGTACCTATAACAAAACATTTCAGAAACAACGACAGTTAGTATTACCACTGCTGAACCTACTACAGTTCCAACTACAAATATTGGAACTATAAATGCAGAAACGACTATTGCGCCAACAACCACCGCTTAAACTGCCACGAAGCCATTGCTGAAACCACTGTATACCATCTAAATTGGTGAAAACCAAAGAAATTATTGTCTTCAAAAGTTGTAAGCTGTAAAAAATACTGTATTTGATTTTGTTTCATTGTTACTAGAGTTATCACACAAAATTAACAAAACTGTATACTAAAAGCACGCACTAAATAGTTCCTGGAGCAATCTCACCCAGATCTTTTGCTCATTTCCAACTGAAGGTGGAACGTTTTCGAATGCAGACAGTGTAGTCTACGAACGAAACATTTGTTTGTGACTCATTTGTTTGAATGAAGTTGTGATGTATGAACTAACTAGAAAGAGGCCAAAATGGAATGAGAATAGTGATCGTTGTTGCAATGATTTGAAGAAGTTATAACACACTCGGCGAAAACCTATTTATACGTTTCAATGGCTCAATCATTCCTAATAAATTGAAGTTGTCTCTTCTTCTTCTTTGCATATCATTCTGCTTTCTCTAAAATGTCGATTTTAGAGTCTCTAAAAAATGTTATGCATAGGTTGATCATCTAAATCTTTCCACTCGAAGGATAATGCTCTTTTCGGTTCTTTCTCC